TATATGCCAAAGAATCACCCTTCTCTTAGTGACAGGAAGAAGCGGAGCTCAGGGCTACTAATTTTATTTGGTTTGGGGGATCTGCAGAGTGTACAGTGATGGACAGGTGTCCTTTCCTGGGGAGGCGCCCCAGCCCCAGCTGTCAACAAACCCTAAGGTAGAAAGCTTCATTCCACGTTACTCAAAGCAAGTTCCTTAGAGAGCCTGAAGAGCCTTTGACAGAAATAAACTCAACTTATCTGAGGTTTGATGATCCACTTTGCTGAGCTACTATTACATGCCAAATACTTTACATTTATGGCAGTGTGACTCTATTTCTCAGATGAGAACACTGAGGGTCAGAATTCATATGCCCAAAGTTCATAGACAGTGGAACTGAGATTCTGACCCAGAACTGCCTGACTTCATACATGCCCAAAGTTCCTAAATAGTGGAATTGAGATTCTGACCCAGAACTGCCTGATTTCACAATCTGTATCAAGCTGCTCCCCTGTGTGCTGGAGGGGGAGGTGTTTGGTACAGGAAGGGACGTTCCTGTATTCATTCTATTTTATAACAGATATTTTTTTGAACACCCACCTCTGTGCCAGCCACCATACTGGGCACTGGGAAAACAGCATGGGTAGAACTCCCAGCCCCTGATTTCTGGAGCCTAGAGCTTAGCAGGAAGAGACACATAAATAAGTAAATATTTGGCCATGAGGAAGGGCATGATGGGAGAGATAATAAGGGAAAACCTGGTTTGGATTGATGTAGAGGTGAGGGAAGGCCTCTCTTGGAAAGTGACATTTAAACCAGTATTTGAGGGACAAGCAGAAATAGGGATGAAGAGCATCCCCGGGAGCTGGTGTTCTGAGGTTCAGAATCCTGCCACCCTAGTGACTAGCCTTTTCCAGGACACCTTACCTGCTAACTTCTTCTTGACGTGTAATGCTACCTGTTCCAATGGTCCATAACTTTTTCTTTAATGCACTTATGGCTCCCTTTGAGACTCTACTCAAGACAAATGACCTTTTCCCCAAGATAGTGTACAAAGGAAAGATACATGGTGTGTTGCTTTGAGGTCTCTTCTCCCACTTGGCACAAGGAAATATCTAGAAGGCGTTGAGCTTGGCTGAGTTGAGCGGGGAGGGAAGTCAGGATGTTGCATATCTAACTTGCATTTTGGGGCTTTGAACTTCACCGATGAGGGCAGTGGGACCGAGCCAAAGGTCACTTGGCTAAGGCTGATTTCCGGCAGGTGCGCCCTAACAGACACTGGGGATCTGTGATTGTGGTTGCTTCTTGTCATGCGCCTGAACTTAGAGCCCTGTGCTTAGAGGAAATACCCCAGTAGCCTGCAAGCTTGTGGGGGCTGCTGGAGGGTAGCATCACTGTTGGGGGGAGCTGCAGCCCCACATTGACTGCTGCTCCCTGCTGGCTAGCCTTAGCCCAGAAGGAGACTGGCCCAGAGATCTTCATGCAAGGCTTCTCTTACCAGGTTGATGCCCTGCTCTGAGCCCTTCAATGGCTCCCCGTTTCCCTCAGGGCAGGGCAGGTTTCATGGTAGGGCATGTAAGCGGGGACCCTGCCCACTTCTGCTTTGTCTAGGCACACCCTACCTGTCTGGTGGCTGTTCCTACAGCTGCAGATTTCCCCATGGGACACCCGCATGGCTTTGTAGGTGCTGTTTCTCCTGCTGAGCATCCTTCCCTTTCTGCATCTTCGACAGGTAAATTTTTAGACGTTGTTTCGAACCTGGGCTATTTCTCCTCTTTGAAGTCCCCGGGGACCTGCTACACTGTAGTGTTGGTCACACCTTCCTCTTCCCAGGGCTTTCCAAGCCCATCACTGTAATTCCTTCCTTCTTTCCTCCAACAACTAGTCACTGGGCACCTGACCGTGTTCTAGTCACACTGGGGTGCTGGCGAAACAATAAATGAAAGCAGACCCAGACCCCACCCTCAAGGACTTTGAACTCCCCTGATGGCCACATAAATGCATGAAACCATGAAGATGAATACACAAAGACGTCAGGTCTTTTGCTTAAAGAAGTTAAGCTGGGGATAAAAGATTTCTGTGGCCAAAAAGTAAAATAAAATATTGAAATAAAAAGGGTATGTTGGAAGTCTTCTGGACTCGGATCTGTTACTAGTCAAATAAAGTCCTGGGATTAGGAGACTTTTTCACACTTATTTTCTGCAATTATAAACACAAGGGAGAGGAAGTAATTTTTTCAGGCTTTGAGCACCTTCTATGAGCAAAGTTTTAGGATTATGAAGACAGCTGAGTCCTGGCCTCAGGGCTGTCTGGGGCACAGGCCAGAGGAGGAGGGATCACAGTGTGAGTTCTCAGCACAAGCGTCCTCGCCTCAGAAAAGACGGGGACTCCCGCAGCATCTGTAGCTGTCCATCGTGGTGTTCATCACAGTTTGGAATTCTTTAATTGCCATATTATTCGATTGCCATCTCTCTTATTGGGCCATAGACTCCACGAGCACGGGTGATGTATCTATCTTATTTTTTTATAACAGCTTTACTGAGATGTAATAATTCACATACCATAAAATTTACCTTTTTAAGGTGTGCAGTTCGTTTGTTAGTAAGTATATCCACAGAGTTGTACAACCATCACCATTATCTAATTTCAGAAGAGTTTCATCATTCTGAAAAGAAACTCCACACCCCATTAACTCCTACCCCTACCACAGCAACCACTAATCTACTTCTGGTTTATATGGATTTTCCTATTCTGGACATCTCATATAAGTGGAATCATACAATATGTAGTCTTTTATGACCGGCTTTTTTTCCTCAGCATGATGTTTTCAAGGTTCATCCCTGTTGTAACACATATAATATTCCATTGTATGGATAAACTACATTTTGTGTATCTTTTCATTAGTTAATGGACACTTGGGTTGTTTCCATTTGGGGGCTTTCTGAATAATGCTGCTGTGAATATTCATGCACAAGTTTTTACGTGGCCGTATGTTTTCATTTCTGTTAGGCATATACCCGTGATTGGAATTGCTGGGTTATGTGATAGCTCTATGGTTAGCATTTTGAGGAACTGCCCAACTTTCCCACAGAGACTGCACCATTTTACTTTCCCACCAGTGCTGTATGAGGTTCCAGTTTTCCCACATTCTCACCAACAATTGTTGATTTTCAGTTTTGTGGTGTTGTTTTTTTAATAACAGCCATCCTAATGGGTGTGAGGTGGTATCTTATTTTGGTTTTGATTTGTATTTCCCTAATAATTAGTAATGTCGAACATCTTTTCATGTGCTTCTTTATACCTTCGTTGGAGAAATGGCTGTTCAGTCCCATTTTTAAATTGGGTTGTTTGTCTTTCTATTGTTAAGTCGTAAGATATTCTGGATACTGTCTCTTACTGACATATGACTTCCAAATTTTCTCCCATTCTGTGGGTTGCCCTTTTGCTTTCTTCTTTGTTTTTACTTTTATTTTTTACAAAGATGACAGTAAGGGGATCTTAACCCTTGACTTGGTGTTGTCAGCACCACGCTCTCCCAAGTGAGCAACCGGCCATCCCTATATGGGATCTGAACCCGTGGCCTTGGTGTTGTCAGCACCACACTCTCCCAAGTGAGCCACAGGCCAGCCCCCTTTTGCTTTCTTGATGGTATCTTTTGAAGCATGAAAGTTTTTAATTTTGAAATCCAACTTAGGTAATTTTTGTTGTTATTGTTGCTTCTGTCATTTCTAAGAAACCATGGCCTGACCTAAAGTCATAAAGACTTATTCCTGCTTCCTTCTAGGAGTTTTATGTTTTGAGTCTTACATTTAGGTCTATGTCTATGTTATTTCAGATTATATCCCCAGTGCCTAGAGTAATGCCAAGTATATAGAAGGTACTTTATACTTGTTGAGTGAAATGAATGAATGAATATCTCTTGAATGCATGAATGAACAAACGGGTGTCTTCCTTCTAGTCCTCGGTCTGTTGCTGGTTAAGTAAAGCCCTAGGCTTAAGAGAGAGGCATTGTACAGAAAAGGAGCAACAGTTTGTTTTAATCTCATCTCCCATAAATCTGCCCTCAGTGAGCGCTCACATTTTTTTTTCTGCTAACTTCTTTTCTATTTCCCTTCAATTTTGCTTCTCTTTAGTTTCTCTATTTGACGAAATATTGCTAAGACATTTCCTAATCAAATAATGCCTAATCTACTTTGGTTAAATGGCAACTATGGTAGATATATAAGAAATGTTTTCTGTTGTAAAAATCTTTGTTGGTTTGATATTTCTTTTGTTGGTTTTTCTTATGTTAGACAAATAAATTCAGATAACCTGGCAGTGTATAAATTACAAAGTAGAAAGTTACCTACTGGGTGGGGCAGGGGAGTAGATATCATGATGTCCAGAACTTACTTTTAGAAAAAAGTCTATATAGAGAGAAAGAAGGCAAAATGTCAATAATTAGTGACTTGAGGTGAAGGGTTTTGGGGAGTTCCTCGTAGTAGTATTTCAACAACTATTTTTAGGTTGATTTTTTTTTCTTCGTAAAACTGTCTCTCACAGTCCTACCCACAGAGCAAATTAGCTGTGGACCCTGAGAGGTTACTATGTGCTGGGCATTTTGTGTACATTTTTCACTTAATTCTCAGCTATTGAGGAGAGAGCAGAGGTCAGGGCAGGTGACCAGGGTTGCACAACTTGGCCGAGTGGTTGGACCACAATTTGGATGTAGGTCTGTGACCTCAAGGCCTTGATTCTTTTATAGTTTTTTAAGGTGTACCTCAAATGGCAAACTTTTCCCCTGGGAATGACTGGCTTCCTCTGTCATCATGTAGGTCCCTGATGCTTTACAAGCCTGTGCTTAGTGAGGGCAGATGAGAGATATTCCAGGAGTTTCTGCAGTAGAAGGGCTGCTATCCGGGGACCTGAAGGAAAATGAACAAGGATGTGGAAGGAATCGTCACCTCCCCACTAGTCACCAGGCAGACCCTGATGCTCTTGGGCAGCAGCCCTGACCCCCTTCTGCCCCACCTGCCCTCCAGGAACTGAAGCTGCCCGCCTTCCGAGCCTACTCCCCACTCCTGAAGAGCCGCCGGTTCTTCGTCGACATCCTGACCCTGCTGAGCAGCCACTGCCAGCTCTGCCCTGCAGCCCGGCACCTGGCCGTCTACCTGCTGGACCACTTCATGGATCGCTATAACATCACCACCTCCAAGCAGCTCTACACCGTGGCCATCTCCTGCCTCCTGCTCGCAAGTAAGTGGAAACCCGCTCCTTCCTCTGCGTTTGTGCCGTCCGTCTCCTCCCCATCAGCAAGCCCTGCTGCTCCCGGTCGTTTCACATTTCAGTGGTATTTGCATGTCTTCTGTGTTCGTCCTTTGCTTTGTGCCAACTACATTTATTAATAATTGTAAGCATGTTTTAGCATCTATAATATACCAGGATAAGTGATAAGGATTTTAGCAGCTTGATCTTAATTAATCCACACAATGACCCTAGGAGACAGATACTCTTAATACCCCATTTTACGGAAGAACAGAGAGGTTAAGAAACTTGCCTTGGGTTGCCCGACTAGTACATGGCAAACGAGCTTTGAGCCCAGAACTGCATGATGCCAGAACCTGTGCTCTTAACCCCATGTCTCCTGTTTCCTGGTATGACGGCTCTGAATGTGCTGGGAAGAGAACCCCAGCAGCCACTGTTCTCTGAGGTGTTTAGGAATGTGACTGCTCGATTTGGACTTACGCAGTACCCATTAGTAGTCACCAGGCCTCAGCACAGTCCTTGTGGGGTTTGCACCTTCCAAAGAGGCCTCACTAAAAACGCAGCATAGCTTTGACCATCTGTCTGTCTGCCTTGGTAGGGATAACTATATTACTGTATAATGTGCTGCTGCTCGGCTGAGCTTAAAACACAGCTCTGCCATGCCACCCCGCCTCTTACAACCGCCCACGGTTTACCAGCTGTCTTAGGATAAAGACCAGCCTTCAGGTTCCTGCCTCTCTGGCCTCATGCCTTTCTCCTCCTCACTCCTGGGTTCCAGCCACACTGTCACAGAACTTTGCACAGGCTGTCCCTCTGCCTGGACTGCTTCTGCCTGCCCACTCGGGCCCCACATCCCTGTGAGAACCTTTCCCCACTGCCCTGGGCAGGTGGGGTCTCCCTGACATACAGACCCACAGCATCATGTACTTTGAATTAACACCTATCACCCCCACTAGACAGTGAGTTTCGGGAAGGGAAAGGAGCTTGGCACGTAGTAAGAGGTCAAGAAAATATTTGTAGAATAAATGAAATCAGTAGAGCTAAGGGCTCCTTTCGAACTGGGCTTCTGCACTCCCCCAGGTTGCCCTTCCAGTGGAGGAGTGAAATGCCCCTAAGGCCTCAGGCTCAAGGTGGCCAGCTGCAGTCAGGACATTTTTTTGTCATCTAGTATTTTATCCTTAAAATTCAATCAGGTTTTGGGCCGGCCCGTGGCTCACTCGGTAGAGTGCGGTGCTGATAACACCAAGGCCCTGGGTTCGGATCCTTAAAAAAAAAAAAAAAAAAAAATTCAATCAGGTTTTATATATTTCCCCCACCACATGCTGTTGTCCTGTTTTGTTATGCAGGTCCCTCCCCTCCCCCAGTCCTGAGTGCGTGCTGCTGCAGAAAGACTGTGCCCACGTTCTCCTGTGGCTTTGTCTACTCCTGGCTCACTTCTGTAAACCCCGTAGGCACCATCACCCAGTTGGAGAAGCACAAACTAAATTTAGAGTTTTCAAAATTCCATCTTGTTTACCACCCTGGCACCTTGTACCTACTGTTGTTTGTGATCCCTTTGGCTGCTTTATGTCTACAACTCCACCGTTTGTGATTTTTCTCTACCTCGGGCCAGCTGAATTTCCTTTGTTACACGTGGGCGCCAGTCTTGCTGGGAGTCCAGCCTATTGACTACTTCAGAGTCCCTCGCAATGCACATCTCCCTCTCACCTTGGGAAGAGATGCGGGGCTTGTGAGATGTGGTGCAGGAGAGATCTGCACCATGGTCTTTGGCTTGCTGCTGTCTGTGATCTGTGAGCTGCATCGAGGTCTGCTGGGGGCAGGGGACTTTTATTTCCATGGGGCCATAGAGGCTCTCCCCCCAGCGTCTGTCTGGGGAGCTGGGGACAGGAGGCACACACTGGAGTCTCCTTTGTGCTGCTGTCGCCAGGCGGAGGGAGGGTGCCTTTCAGACAGAGAGGCAGACGCCCCCACCCACACATCTGAGAGCAGCAGCTAGCCTCAGGCAGCAGGAACGGATTTTTCAGGACACCTGCCATATGCTCCAGAAGCCCAAGCAAAGAAAAGTTTCCATGACAGCCTACAATCCTATTCATTCTTCCCTTCCCTCTCCCCAGGCCGACTGTCAACCACAGCGGCAGTCACCTGGCCTTAGGAAGTTTGGAATTCTGCTAATTTGGTACCGAATTATTTTGAGATAAGAAGAGCTAGGGTTCTTGCTCCCACCTGTCAGTTCTCGGGGTTTTAAAACTGCTTCCAAATAAGGGCATAGATGGGACCTTCTCACCTGTATACAATCCCTTCTGCCCCCATAAAACAGGTCAGTCAAAAGCCCATGTCTGCAGGCCTACGAAAGGAGGCAGAAGAAGCCAGAGCTTTTAGGTCATTCTACCATGGACATGTGGCAAAGCCGCCCTTTGTCTGTCTGTGACTGATTTTATTGTCTGCGTCTCCTACCTTAACAACAAGAAAGAATCGTAATACTCCAAATATAGTATAGATATAAATATACTACAAATATGAGTATAATAGTACTTTCTTCTTTAATCTTTCATCTCATACATCACCCCTTTCCTAACTATCTGTGTTGCTCTTGTTAGTTAATTAAAAGGATGATTTGACGACATGGAAACTCACAACTGGGCCGGCCCGTGGCTCACTCGGGAGAGTGCGGTGCTGATAACACCAAGGCCCCGGGTTCGGATCCCATATAGGGATGGCCAGTTCGCTCACTGGCTGAGCGTGGTGCTGACAACACCAAGCCAAGGGTTAGGATCCCCTTACCGGTCATCTTTAAAAAAAAAGAAACTCGCAACTGCTGGGTGAGTTGACTTTGACAGCGCACAATAATAATCGTCAGCACCGCGGCTTCCTTCGGTACTTACCGCCTCTTTCTCAGTACCCAGCCCTGTGCCAGGCACTTCGCACACATCACACAGAATCCTCACGACCAGCCAGGTGACTGTGCTGTCATCTGTCCATTTTGTAGGTACAGAGAGGCCAAGTCACTTGCCCAAGGTCACTCAGCTTGGGGTTTTGCTTTTTTTAAAATTTGAATTAAGATAAAATTCATACCCTAACATAAAATTCACCATTTTAACCATTTTAAAGTGTACGATTCAGTGGCATTCACACTGTTGTGCAGCCATCACTCTATCTAGTTCCAGAACATTTTTCACCCTAGAAGGAACCTTTGTACTCAGTAAGCAGTCACGTTCTATCCCTTTCTATTCCTAGCCCTGGCAACCACTAATCTGCTTTCTGTCTGTATGGATTTGAATTCGGGCTCTTCCATATTATAAAAGGGATCGTGTAAGATGTGACCTTTTGTGTCTGGCTTCTTTCACTTCACATGATGTTTTCAAGGTTCATCCATGTTGCAGCATTTATCAGCACTTCCTTCCTTTTTTATGGCTGAGTAATATTCCACTGCAAATACCACAACTTGTTTATCCAGCCATCTGTGGGTGGATAGTAGGGTCATTTTCACCTTTTGCCCATTGTGAATAGCGACATTTGGGTACCACGTTTATTAGAACATCTTTTTTCAGTTATTTTATATAAAGGAATTGAAGTGTGGGTCATATGGTAATTCCACGTTGAACTTTTTGAGAAATCTTGGAGTTTTGCTTTTGCCTGGTGGTTGCTGCTCAGAGGTGACTGGACTGCTGAGTCTTTAGCCACGGGGCATGGACAAGCCTGAGAAAGGAGGGAGGATGTCAGAGAAAGCCAGAAAGGCAGGAGTGGCCTTTTTGTACATTATTTTGATACAAGAAATGTGAGATATGTTTTTATTGTAAAAAATCTGAAAGATATAGAAGCACCTACTGTGAAAATTAGTTTCCCCCCATATGCACAGTCCTGTTCCCACAATTTGGTGTGTGTTCTTCCAGACCCAGATGTACTTATGTGTTTTCATAATTAGGAAAGTAAATCTATTTGCCATGCCTAGGGGGCAGGGCAAGGAGATGCATCATAGATAACACCCATATAACCAGTAAACGAAATTGTGAGATTCCTTCTCTTCCTCCCTTTTCCATTCCCTGCCCACCCCACCAATCCCAATTGCACCATACTTTCTCTTTGCAGACTTCTGTTTTCTTTCATTGTCACTTCCAGACCCCCACCCCCTCCCTGGGAAAACAAAGTTTCTTACTCCCGAGTTGCTTTCCTCTGGACTGTGAGCCACGTCCTGCCCCTGTCTGGCTGCTCTTGTGCATGAAAAGCAGTGGAAGGTGAGGGGAGCAGATTATCTGTTTCTTGGGGTAAAGTTCTGACTTTTTGGTTTTCATAGGTGAAGTTCAGTCCAGTGCAGGCCTTCCTCTCTGCGCCCATCTTCCTCCTCAAGAGAGAGAAGTGTCAGCCAGGAGGGTGGTCACTGGGCCTTTCTGCCAGGAAAGGACCCCACTCTGGGCACTGATCCTGCAGGGCAGTGTCCCTTAGTCCACAGTGAGTCCGTCATGCTGTGCTGAGCTTACCTGTAGAAAGGCCCATCTCCTCCTGAAGATTCTTTAAGTTAGAAATGGTATACTCACTTGTAAAGTGATAATCAAAGAATAAAATAAAAATCTGTTTCCCATCTCACTCTCCTATGCTGACTTCTGGGAACATTTTCTTGTGTCTTCTTTGAAAATTGATCTAGTGTATCTTCCTTCCTTCCTTCCTTCCTTCCTTC